GGCACGAAGCATCAATAAAAAGTTTTTGATATGACTGGAAGGAGATAAAGAGAGTAATTATATAAACACACAGACGTTAACGTCAGAACAGGTACACGACAGGTACACCAGGGTATTCCTCAGTCCCGAAGAGAGAGAGACGTGACAGGTAAGAGACGGTAACCCAGACAGCATTCTCTCAGAGGACAAATGGGTTGGCAGCACTTGAATTCTGAAGGTTAGCAGAGGTTTGGCTGGGACGGAAGAGGAGAGAACCATATGGCCCTACTGTGAGAGATATCGCAGAGTCACTGGCGAAAGGCCTGTGAGAAAGCAACTGATAGAGCATAACGCAACCTGCTCTGTCAGCTATACAGCACTCTTTCCATGACGTTAAAGGGTCCTAAGTGGCACTTCTCATTTGGATCAATGACATTAGGGTCATTGACGCTCTTTTTCTTATCCGGGTATATCCAAAGTTCTGTCATGAAACTCTAGATGGCGCAGTCCAATAGGTCAAACTCAATCTCACATAATGACATCATTATTCACATAGCGCAGCCGATTGTTTTTTGTTTGTTTTTTTGTATCAGCAGCCAATGAACTTCCGCTCAATATTCAAATACTCGGCTAGTGCCGAGTGTATCACTGTATCAGTGGTAGCAGCAGCGTGCTTCAGAAACCCTCCACCTTCCCCAGCTCCACCTGTATAGATCTGCTATGGGGTTACTCATGTATACTATATGGGGGTTATTTCATATATGTTATATGTGCAGCAGCAGCATTTCTTACATGCTCACAGCAGCATGTTGTGGATGTATTGGCAGTAGCAAGTCGGTACTTGTTCTGCCGCAGCAGCAGCGTTTTAAAAGTTTACTTTTAAAACTTTTTATTTTGAAATTAATGTCTGTTACACATGGGAAATACATCTGATTAGAGACATTTTTAGAGTGATTCAGTTTGAAATCTTCTTGAAAACTACAGAATATTAAAACAACATGAATACAAAGAGTGTTCTTCTAATATAAACTTTCAACGGCACGTTTTAAGCTAGATTTTTAAAAATAATTGTCTTTAATAATCATCATAAACATTCTTATATGTGATACAATTTAACTTCTATACTAGCACTTTAAACCCATCCTGTCTGTCTAAGATCATGGCTACATCAGTTAACTGAAGTGAATCAGCTCATGTCTAATGACTGCTTTGTTGGCGCCATCAGTTCATTAAGACTTTAAACCACTGTAAATCAATTATAGAGCTGAAACAAGTATTTCTTAATACTAATATAATATTTCTTTCTAATACATCCATTGCAGATTATTTGCTGCAAGTTCCAACCTGTTAGATCTGTTAGGACTGAATCTATGTAGATACAAACTGGAGATTATTAGGATCAAGATGCATATGTGCATGTCCGACTACTGCACAAGTCCATTAAAATCTCACTGCTCTACGTCTGTCCTGTATGAGATTGCTGGTCGGTCGAACATCACAGCGGAGGAAAACCAACTGGATTCTGTAGCCTCTCTCTACAGTGTGCAGGACCCACTGAGATATATTTGGCAGTAGTTTCCACGCTGCCAAATAGTCTACTTAAGGGAATCAGTCTCTCGAGACTGACATCTGGTGTAACCAGAGCGGCTAGCTCGGTGCCCTGAAGCGGCGGACCAGCAGGGGACGGCCATATTAGCTGCTCTAGAGACCTCCGTGGAGGTCGCGAGCCTCTTAGCAACGCATCATTTCCGGGCGGTAACTAAGCGAAGCGCTCGCCAGAGTGGTCTGCAGAACCGCCTTCCACTAGAAGTCTTCGGCCTGGGAGCGCCACTCTGACTCTAGACTCTGTGGAGTACGAGAAGTGACGCCCCCAAAATGAGTAGCTGGAACGCGGTAGGTTAGGACTGCTCCCACCCAGCAGCCCCTGCTGACCGCCTCAATCTCCTCGGAGGAAGAGAGGTAAACGCGTGCTCTCACTCGAGAAATGTTTATCCCAAGAGTCTGTATATCTAACTTCTCATAGTCAGATAAATACTTCATTTTATTCCTCAGAATTAAATGCAGTCAAACAACCAGACGAGTAAATACGGTCTGGTGTGGTAAGATTCACATCAAAAACCGAAATTATGTAATATACGCGTTGCCTCGGCAGCGCACGAGCCGCTCAGTCACACAAACAATATCAATCTCCTCGGAGAGAGAGATGGCTGCAGCAGCGAGCTCTCACTCAGAGGGGGAAGAAACCGCAGCGCGGGCTTCCAAGCCTCAAGAATGAGCTCTAGATCTATGGAACGCGGGTGGAGATAGGAAGAGCCGTCTCCAAACGTCCGCCAGATCATGTGCGATCCCCGCGATCTCAGTCGCTGCTGTGCCTCAGCAGCAGCGGGACCGTAATCGCAAGATCACAGGCACGGACACGCGAGAGTGGAGCGTTTAACAGTGGGAAAAGCACAATCAGCCCCCTGAGAGCCGACTGCGCGAGCTCCGCTCCACATTACTGCTGCTCATTATAATATTAGGCATAATATGCTTGTGTAACTGATACCGCAGTGCTGGCGCTGGATCTGGTGGGTGAGGAAGAAGATAGGGACTCGCTCGTCTCCATTCCCTCCACCGGATCCATATGTGAACCCCACAAGTGCAGCCGCCGCTCCGCCTCGGCGAAAGCGGGGCTGGCGCCGCGAGAAACGCCGGTGAAGGCTCCCTCCTCAAAGAAAGCTTTCCGAGAGCGAAGCAAGGCAGTAACAAACGCTGCCGTCGAGAGCTGACTCTGCGTGCTTCGCTCCCAAGCAGACAACACACAAACTGTGTGTGTCCCCACCCGAATATCTTTTTTTTCCCCCCACGGGCAGGGAGAAACACACAGCCCGAACACTGCCTGCTCTCGCCCAAAACTTCTCTTGACTGAAGCTTTGACATAATGGAGCTTATCAGTGGACAAACAACACTAAATAAGACTCACAAACAGATAGCGACTGACACACACAGAGCCCTTACTGAATGACAGAAAGCTGACGCCGGTTCCACCGCACGTGCTTTTAAGCTTCCTAGTCGTTACGTCACCCCGCCCGTGACGTCTCGCCCTTCCATTGGACTGATTACACATGTGATTCAGAGAGTGGTCACGCTGAAGGCGTTCCCAAAGCGCTTTGACGCAGTTTGAGTTCCTGAAGGGGAACTATAGAGCTCCTGGAAGATTTGTTTTGTTTGGATGATTCTAGAGACCTTCATGATTATGTAGATATATATAGGTCAACAAAAAATACTTATTAGTAACATGACATTTAATTTCTTTGGGAGGGTTTGCCTTCGCCATGCTTCCTGGAAGTAAGGGTAGGAACTTGACAGCCTCATGTGACAGGAAGGAAGTGAATACCTTTTTTTGTTCTTCAAATCCTTTATTTGGTTGTTTGCTTGCATGTCATTGAGAAATAAAACATGGAAAACATCTAGAAAAATACTTACAAAAGGTAAGTACTATAAACTGCTGCAACTATAGTTGCCAGTGGGCTGAAAGGTCATTCGGTGGTCATTTGAAGATCTGGTACAACGTTAACTCAAGAGGGAAGATGCTGTGCGAGTCAATACGCAATTGATTTTCAATTCCCGTCTCATCGTCAGAAAGTCACGAACCACACCTTTGGCTTTTACAGCTCCTTGCGCTCCTGGAAACATAACTCCCGGTCAATATCACACCAGCGAGGCACATCGACAATGCTAAATCATATCGATTGATGACCGTAACGCTTTTCTGAGGGGCAGATTATGGTATAATCTATAGCACATCAGATTATGAAATTAGAGAGAATTAATCCGCGCAGTGTCATGCACAGTCCTACAAGTCATCAATCCTGCAGTCAAGCGGTGAGTCTTGACCTTCATTCGGTCTCAGCACAGGAGGCTGTATGCAGTATGCTGACCCAGCAGTGCTGTAGCTACACTGCCTCAACACCTTCACAACAAGTGAAAATGCTACATCAATTAACAAGAAATATGTGTATGTGGACATCTGGTATTACAAGAAATATGAAAAAGCCTAAAAGACTGAGACCACAAATCAGGATGCATCCGGTTTTCATTTTTCTGACTTGTAAATACAGTATATGCGTTCCGTTACAATAAAATACTTAAAATATTAATAAAATAACAATTAATGCACTAAATATATAAAGTAGTACACTAAATTTATATGTTCATTGGTAGATGCTTTTCTGCAGGATGTTGAACTGTTTGTATTCGAGCGCCATCTAGTGGACAGAAGGCGCAAAGACAACCACCACATATATATCATGCAATAATACACATTTCACTACAAGTTGGTCCTGTGTCATTTATTGCTCATATGATGGGCGTTTACACATTTAACATGTTTTAAATGTGTTCAGGAGCACAGACAAAGACCAGGACAGATTCTCTGTTACACCTATATTATGAAATCTAAAATGGACATAAAAGCAATAGGCTATAACACATAGGCCAATGAGACAACAAAATGACAGCATAAGGACAACAGCAGAAAACAGGATGCATCACACATGCCAACACCAAACAGGGAGTCCGACTCCATGCGGAAAACACCCTCTGGCCTCTTATGGCATGCAGCTCCTGCTACTGCTGATAACAATCACACAAACAAAGCTGACTGTTATCACATTACACAGAATCAGGAGACGAAGACAGCATTGACAGAAGAACAAAAGTGTGTTATTCAAACACAGATCATACTCAAATAAACACTGTGTTCACAATGAAATAAAACAGCTTGTAACATCTTTACGGAACTTAATCTAAAAAGCAGATAAAAGCAGCTTCCTCATGTGATCAGAACTAAACATCAGAGGGTCATACATCCATTCACGAGTATCTCTATGCGTTATATCAATTGAAGTAATTTACCACTGTTAAAAATGAACCATTATCATGTGAGCAATCATAATCTGAACCCCCATTAAATATGTAAAATATTAAATAAGTAATGTCATTAAACTTGAAGTTATGTTAAAATATATGTGTGTGTGTGATATATATATATAAATCATATTTCAAGTGTTAAAATAAATAATTACTATATTGTTAATGGAAAAGAAATGGTGCTTCCAATAAGCTGAAGTGCTAAACCTACAGAAATATCACCCAAAAGTAACCCTAACCCTTAACAATGCCACTTCACAATGTGTCGATATATGTAAAAAAATAAAAATAAAAAAAAAATGCAATATTACAATCTGAAATGCTGTAGCTTGCAGAACAATGCAAAAAGATTTTTTAATCATTAGTCAACACAAGTGCAGCCCTTTCATTTCAATGTGATGTATTACTTCAAAGGGAGGCAATTTCTTCTTGTTTTGCAAGAAAAATAACCGCAAAACAAACACAGTTTCAGTAGTATTACACATTATAGCAGAAGAGGATCAGCCACCTGCTGCTATATTATACTGTGCTTACTGTAGAAAGGGCAGAATAAACAGATCTGCAAGTCAGGCCACAGCACACCACAACACAACACAACTGCTTAAAATGCTCAATGGCTTGCAAAAAATGAGTCCAATCTGCAGGTGAAGAGGAAGCTGAACAAAATGCCTTGCACTCAAAAACAGCATTTGAATTAGATGAGAAGTTACATTTCAAAATATCCAGCGACCAGATGATTAGGAGCTTCTTTTTAAAATGTGTATTTACAGGCCTTTAGGAACACCTCTAAATCTGCTTCAGAGCCAGCTGTGGGAATAAAGAAAAATGTGATGCTTTAGTTTAATTAAATATAATTAATTGAAATGGTTACTAGTTATACACAATGTTGTTTTTTTTTCCCCCTCCAGAACCCACCCATAACTGCTCCTGACTATATATTTTAAATAGTATATTATTTATTCTACCATTCAAAAGTTTGGTGCACTTTTATTCAGCAAGGATGTATTACACTGATTGAAAGTGACAGGAAGACTTTTGCACCGTTAGAAATGAATGCTGCTCTTTTAAACCTTCTAAAGAATCCTGAAAAAAAAAAAAAATGTATCACGGTTTCCACAAAAATATTAAGCAGCACAACTGTTTTCAACATAATATGAAGAATTGTTTCCTGAGCAGCAATTTAGCAGATTAGAATGATTAGACTGGAGTAATGGCTTCTGAATATTCAAGCTTTGCCATCAAAGGAATAAGTTACATTTTAAAATACATTAAAATGGAAAACAGTTTTTACTGCATATTGATCAAATAAATGCAGCCTTGGGAAGCATAAAATTTAAAACAAAAACAACAGTGATTATATTATATTTTATTATAAACGGAGCAAAATGAATGTTTGGAGATGGAAACTGATATTTTAACATGCATATAAACACGTATCTTTACATCTGTTTCACTGCCTGGTTGTTCATGACAATGTGCAGTTCAGTTTAGAGTAAATCAGAGTAGCTCACCTTCTGCGCAGCTTCCGCAAACTGCTTGGCCCCGTGCAGCAAGTGGTTGGTTTTATCGTCGGCCCTCATCAGACGCTCCCCGCGTTCACTCAGAACCTGACTGGCCCTCCGCATCACGTTCCCCATCTTCCTCACCGCCGGAGGAGACGGGCTGCTCCTGATCCTGCTCCTGGATGCTTTAACAGCTGCTGCTGTGCAAATATTCAGAAACACACGTGAGCATCATGTCAAGTTCCAAACATTGTTTTATTTTACACATTTACTGTGTAGGTTACTAAATAGACTTCTTTTTAAACATACTCATATTTAATACAGAATAGTTTAGTATCAGTGGAAGTTTCTCTTCCACTGATACTGTCTGCTGCTGCTCTGGTATATAGCTGCTGGTCTAGGATCAGTTTTTTTTTTTTCAGTTTAATGCTTTACTATTAGAGTGATGGAAAACAAATAGTCCAGATCAGCGACTGAAAGAATGGTTTTAAGATGTGTTTTTGTGTCTCCGTTTCTGATCTTTTGATCTAATGTGAAATAAGCTTGCTTAATTTACTAATGAACATGAAAGGGGACAACAGAAAATTATAGCAGCAGCTATCGTACACTTGAAAATTCTGCTATGCCATTAACTAATCTTGTTAATCGCAAGACATGGCAGTCTATGACTAGGGCTGAGGTGTGTGGACTGGTACTCTGCATTTTGCGGCTCCAGGGCAGCTTGGCACCGCTCCCATTCATTACACACCATTCATCCATGATCCGCTGTGAAGACTGGTGCCACTTCACTCATCTCCGCTCCTCTCCCCCTCCTCAACGCCTGTCTTTGTGTCCCCGCGCATGCCTTCATCAGAACAAAGTGGCCTCTGAACTAATCGGGCCCTCTTTGCAATGGAACCATTCTCTGGCGCTGCCCAGAGATCAATCAGAACACTGCAAACAACCTCCCGCCGACAAAGCGTCCTCTCTTCCTGCCTGGACCCTGACTGATCTGACCCACACAACAACACAGACAGAGCAGGATGGAAATGAACCGAAAAGATGCATTCCTAATACACTGCCCAGGGGTCAATGACATTGTTCCTTTCTTTAGAATATAAATTGAAACTGCAATTCATATATTTTGGATACACCTCTTCAATGAGGAGCATGTTGTTGTTGTTTTTTTATTTCTTAATTTATTAGAAGCGGAGTCCAGCCCGGGGTCGTCATGTGGTTGCCGCAAGCCCGCCGGTCGCTCCTTCGTCGAATCCGCCGGCTGCGCCTTTCTCAAACCCGCCCGCCGATGCTCACTCAAGCCGGCCTCCGCATACTCTAGCCAACGCGTAAAAAGACAGTATAAATCATTATAATCCGTAATTATGTCACCATAATTAACATAACTAAAATGGGCGCAACATTTCCGTCACACGCTTGAGGTATTCGGCCAATCACAACGCACTGGATAGCTGGCCAATCACAGCACACCTCGCTTTTTCAGAACGATGAGCTTTGTAAAAATCGACGCGTTTCAGAAAGGCGGGGCATAGAGGAGAAACAATAATGTACAGTATGTGGAAAATAATGTGTTTTTTGAACCTTAAACCACATAAACACATTTCATTACACCAAATACACAAAATAATGTTCATATGACCCCTTTAAAAAAATCTGTTTTCTTGATGGTTACACCATCATTCAATTCAAAAGTTTTAAAAATGGCATAAATGTTTTTCAAAACCGTATGACACCAATTTGATCACAACGAATTTGGAAAACACAAACACACACATTTCTACTTACCTTCACGCTGAGGCCAACCCTGGTTTGCTGTCATACTGTTCTTCATTCGGTTCAAAAAAATCTTGCAGCGGTAGATAACCATATTAACAGAACAAGCATCTGAAATATGGGAAAGAAAGAAAGAAAGAAAGAAAGAAAGAAAGAAAGAAAGTTATAGTTCTCAGGTTCTCCATACATATTCTTTCTGCAAAGAGGTCAGTACAGCGATCTGTCTTTCTCAGCCCGCTCACCTCCCATTAGCTTCTGCTGACAGTTGACAAAGCTAGTTTGGCTTGGAGCTCCAGGGCTCTTCTTGTTCTCCGGAGCTCCTGGTGTCTTCTGGTCTCCGGGGGATGCTGGGTTGGCTTGGGCAAGCTTGGCCTCCCAGTAGTTTTGACAAGCATGGTACAGAACCTGCACAAACATGCATTTCTCTGCAGCTGAGCTGGCTACCCATTGATCAGTGGTGCGGTCGAACACTAGGTCGAACTCAGGAGTGTCCTGAAAATATGCATTCCGTCAGAATAACAGACTACACTGGAAAATAAAAACTGCATTAAGAAGGATGGTCACCTTATCGGGGTTGATGCCATTGACCTGCCGCAGCTGCTTCACGGACCACTGAGACCTTTTAGCAAGCTGTCTTGTGCCTCGATACTTCTTAACTTTAGTAATGAGGACTTGAGCTGGTCTGCTGTTAGTAACTACATGGAAACAAGTCTCCATCAAACTTCAAGAACATTGCTTGACAAACGATTAAACTAGTTACTACTTTAGATACTTTGAGTTTATGAAGAGACACATTACCTGACAGGCAGAGGTAGGTTAAGTAGTCCCTCTTGCGACCTGCATTGAGGAAGGACAGTCCTTTCCTCTTCATCCTCCTCCTCACCTCAATGGCACTTAGGACTTGTGATATTTCAGTTTTTCTTTTTTAATTAATCTGCAAAAATGTCAACAATTCTGTGTTTTTCTGTCAATATGGGGTGCTGTGTGTACATTAATGAGGAAAAAAAATTAACTTGAATGATTTTAGCAAATGGCTGCAATATAACAAAGAGTGAAAAATTTAAGGGGGTCTGAATACTTTCCGTACCCACTGTATATAGCTGTAATTTTGAACTTTGAGACAAAAAGTATAACCATTTCCACAAAATATTAAGCAGCACAACGCTTTCAACACTGATAATAATAATAATAATAATAATAATAATAATAAATGTTAGAATGCAAAATTTGAGCCAATTGCCATTATAAAACATAATAAATGAACTGATTAATATTACTTGGTCAAATCAACGGTTTAATATTTACATTTCTGCGGATTCATTATTCGTTTTGTGACAACTTACCCCAATTAGTGCGATAACATATATATACATATATATATATATAAATTATAAATAATTTTAAATACTTTTTTTTTTAGATTTTTTGCATTAAATACTTTTAGAACAAAATTGTTCTACTGCTATAGTTTAACTTTAAATAACCTTTTTTTTTTTTTAAGTGTAATGAAAAAAGTATCAGTTTCCACAAAAATATTAAGCAGCACACCGTTTTCAACACTGATAATAATAATAAATGTTTCTTGAGCAGCAAATAATCATATTTATAATGATTTCTGAAGGATCATGTGACACTGAAGACTGGAGTGATGATGCTGAAAATTATGCTTTGCATCACAGGAATAAAACATATTTTAAAATATATTAAAATTGAAAGTTTTTTTCCCCAAAAAATATTAACATTTTTCTAAGATTTAAAAATATTTTAAACAGTATAAAGTATATATTTTATATATAGTAGCCAAGTTTATGTTATGTATCTATACATATATTGAAATAGGCTATTCACTTGAGTAAAAAGTGACAACCAGCCCCAGCGTGAGCAACAAAGTTAATAGATATTACATTTTTAAACAACCGACGTTTGAATGTTAAATTAATTTATTAAAAAGTTAACACATTTCAAATCTAAATGACACGTTAGCTCACCTGTTGCTCTAAAGGTTTCCAAACACAAAACAACTTTGTGAATTCCTAAAACCAAATTTTTGAATAAATAGATAAATCAACACACCTTCTGCTTCCTCGTCCTGTAGCTTTCTTCCTCCCTCGAGCCTTGAAGAGCGGCGAGAAGCGTCCAGCAGCCCTGTCTGTGTCTGCGCCTCAAGCCATCTTTATCCCGCATCTCATGAGAGACTGTTGGGCGTGTGGCAAGCCCCGCAGAAAACCCGCAGGCTGTGTGCTATATCCTAGTGAGCTGCCTACTGAGAGAGCACTTTAGGGATCCTAGACGCGTCTGAGTCAGTTGAGCTCAAACATGCTGTCTAGTTTAGCGGCTTGTAGACTTGAGACAGAGCCACACACACACACACACACACACACACACACAGGAAACTAAGTACGTTAATGATCACGTGCAGCCCGGTTGGTTGGAGGGCTGATTGGAAGAATTGACACTGATTTTATCAACAGCTGAATAAATTGATATGAAACGAGTCTTCAATTAAGAGTTGAAACACAGAGGTTTATAAGGGACTGCTGATTTTTTTTTTCTTCCCCTGGAATCACTATAAAGAATTATTTAGCATATCATCTTAACTGAACTGTGAATTATGCATGTACATGCATGTGTTTGTATTTATATATACACACATATATTATGTAAACAAAAACTTTTATTTTGGATGCGATTAATCGCGATTAATCGTTTGACAGCACTAGAATAAATACATAATTCAATGAATAAACGAACAAACAAATATGAATGAATTGATAAATAGGGATTTTTATGCCATTTGGTATCTAATCATATAATAAAATATGTACACAATATCGTTTTTTAAATGTTTTTAAAGAAGTATCTTATTCTCAACAAGGCTGCATTTCTTTGATCAAAAATACAGTAGAACAGTAATATTGTAAATAGTACAATGTAAAAAAAATAACTTATAAATAACTTATTTTTTATATATTTTAAAACATAATGTGACGTCAAACCTGAATGTTCACCAGTCATTACTCCAGTCTTCATTGTGGGGTTATTATATAACAAACTAAAGCTGAAAAATATAAAATGCAAAATTTAATAATAAATGGAACAATTCCAGTGAACAGGTGCTTAGTGCTCGGGCCCCCCACAAAAAATAATAATATAAAATATTAATAAAAAGTATAATACTATCTCGATACCAAAATATGACTGCTTCAGTGTCACAGTGCTGATTTGGTGCTCAAGAAACATTTCTTATTATTTTCATTGTTGGAAACAGTTTCAGCTACTTCATATTTTTGTGGAAACCAGGGCATTCATTCAGGGTTATCTGATTATTGGATAGAAAGTTCAAAAGAACAGTATTTATTTGAAACATAAACTCTAATTCTGTGGTGATCATAGCAAAGAGTGCATTCAAATGTGCAGTACATTTCAGTGTCTATCATGCGAGTGCAGAGAAACTAATGCCTCAAAACTGTATTGGAAAAAGAAGGAAAAGGGAAATGTCTGGAATAGTTCATCTAGAAACGAAAATTCTGTGACCCTCCACCATGATGTTCCAAACCAGTATGACCTCCATGGAAGACAAAAGGAAAAATTCTGAAGAATGTTCTGGGCTGCGTTTCTCAAAAGCATCAGCCCTGCTCGATCTTTCCAGTTACAATACATGGGAACTGAGGCTTTCAAGGTGCAAAAGGGATCATAAAAGGATCCCTTTTATGATCCCTTTTGCACCTTGAAAGCCTCAGTACAACTACAACTAGTCCAAGTCGTCTGAAGCTAGAAAATAATTTTGGGAACAGACTGAAAGGTCAGTGGTTATTCACTGGTAACGTTCACCTCAAACACTACGACCGGATCAAAGATTCAGTGAGTTGAGCTCGGTTGATTGAATCATTCAGACGGTTTTTGTCAACTACATCAGTTAAGAGCTAAATCAAATAAAGATGCATTCATGATTCAGACACTGCTACTCCACTCATGACTGTGGAAAGGAGAGCTAGGGCAGATATGAACATTTTTAGAGAATGAAAACTTAAATTTCAATCTGTTCTTCACATTAAATTCAGAGGACTTGGAATATTTTCACTTTTCTGAAACTTTATGGTGTTTCGCGACATTTTTTAAGCTTAAAAGCTTCAGTTTGCATCAGGGTTATTATCGTTAACCAAAAAAAAAAAAAAAGAGAAAAAAAAAAAAAAAAATCATTACTTGAAATAAAATATAAAAAATATAAACCTATTTTAGTACAGCTACTTGCCAACATTTCTCATTCTATTAAAAAAAAAAACAATAAAAAAAAATAAAAAAAAAAAAAATCATTACTTGAAATAAAATATAAAAAATATAAACCTATTTTAGTACAGCTACTTGCCAACATTTCTCATTCTATTAAAAAAAAAAAAAATTAATAAAAAAAATAATAATAATAAAATACTGAAACTAAATTAAATAAAATTAAAATAAATAAATAAACTAAAATTAGAATGAAAACAAGTAAATAAATAAATAAATAAAAACTCAAAATATGAATAAAGTCTGTATCAACGATACTAAAATAACACTGGTCTCCAGTCAATGTAACTGCATGTAAAAAAGCAACTAGTACAATTCTTTAAAATATCTCTTTTTGTTCCACTTAAGAAAATTACACGAATTTGGAACAACAATGAGGGTGAACAAATAATGACAGAATTGATATTTTTGGGCGAACCATATGTTTACTAATGGTTATTCTCTTCGAATGAATCTATCTATGTGCACTGCTCCCATCAACTATCAACTCAATATTTGGCCACTTGTAGGAGTGATGCAGATTGTTTTATCATCTAAATAATGTAAACATAGTATTTATGCTTAATTTATAAAAATTGTCAAAACTATTATTTTTAGGCAAGAAAACATTCTAAAAAAAAAACTTCTGATTGTGAACCTCCAATTCAGCAGATTTTTGTCAGTCATACTATACAACCACAACTTAAGTCGATACACATCAGTCAATATGAAGAGTCTGCTGCTTTGGGAATTATCAAGATGTGAACAGTCAGAATTTTCAAGCTGCAACAAGTAGTATCATTACCACCATCTCATCGAGGTTAAGAACAATCCTAGTCTGGGGATGTAGTGGAGAGAGTAAGTCTCTTCCATGGGTGTGCTTCTAAATTAGGGAAAACAAGGCAAGGACAGGATCTCTGATGCACAGTGAACAAGGTCTGCTAAACTATATTAAGGGAGCGATCAAGGGTGGTGCTGTGTGAGAGTTCATATGTGTGTTTGTTATGACTCGGGGTTGTCCTCTGGCATGTCATTCGCTTCATTTGGCCTGTACATGAACGTTAGCAGAAACAGAGCCACATCGTGGGAGCACCAATAGGCTGTGTGCGACGTTACCGCTGACCAATAGCGGCTCTCCACCAGGCCCTCCCTCAGCTCAAAGTCTATGCGTTTCTCGAGCTCAACTGCAAAACAGTCACAAGAAGAATGTCATTGTCATGCCTTTTGAAGGTTTGACTTTCTACTCAAAAGCAAATTTGACAAATCATCGAAAGTCCTTATGGAAGCCAATTCGACCTCAGAGTAAAAATAAATCTCCAAAAAACTGTGACTTTATTTCTCGCAATTGCAACTTTATCATAATTGCAATGTTGTATCTAATAATTTGAATTAATAACCACACAAAGTAACTTTACATGCTGCAAATTACAAATGTACCTCTCCGAATTGTTAATATATTTTGTAATGTGATTTTACATCTCATCATAGCTACTTTTCGTAATTGTGACTTTATGTGCCATATGTGTGACTTTATTTCCTATAACTGCAACTTTATTTCTAGGAACTGTGACTTTATATTTTCAAACTGTGAATGTATATCTTAAAATGTGATATACCTTTATATCTCGCAATTGCGACTTTGTTTCTGATTATTGTGACTTTATATCTGACAGAGCAATTTTATGATTTCACATCTTGCAGTTGCAACTTTGTTTTTCATAACTGCAACTTTTTATCTCACACTGTGACTTCATACTGTATGAAGCAATGTTACTTTATCTTGCAATTGTGGCCTTCTTTCTTAAAATTGCAACTTTATTTCTTGGAATTAAGATTTTATATTTTCAAATTATGAATTTATGTCTTAAAATGTGACTGTACCTCCAGATTGTGACTTTATATCTCATAATTGTGACCTTGTTTCTGATAATTATGATTTTATAGCGTATGGTGCAATTTTATATCCACGGCATGATTTTATATCTTGCAATTGTGACTTTGTTTTTCAGAACTGTAATATTATATCTCACACTGTGACTTCATATCTAGCAATGTGACTATATCTCACAACTGCGACTTAGTTTCTTATAATTATATATTTCTTGGAATTCTGACTTTATATATTCAAATTGTTAGTTAATAACTTAGGACATTTCTATATGTCTAAAATGTGACTTTATATCTTGCAATTGCGATTTCGCATCTCACAATGTATTTTATATCTTGCAATTCGACTTTATGTTTGGTAATTGCAACTTTATATCTCACAATGTGACTTAATTTCTTACTTTAAACCTTATCTTACAATTACCTTTTTATTCTTTTACTCAAATGTGGAAACATGTTTCCATTATAATAAAGGATAAAGTTATCAGTAAAATCGGAAATATTAGCGCCACCAAACTGCAAAGATATAGTTTGTTTCCAAACAGGTTTTCTAAACCAAAATACTGAAATCATGAAATTATGAGTACTGAGAAAATTATGAAACTGTGTGTTCTTCTTTGTGAAGATGATGCTTACAGGACGAGTTATCCATAATGGCAGAGGCTGACTGTGACATGCTGGTGTATCCTGTCTTCTCCTCGATTTTCTCCTCTGTCTTTTCCTCAACTTTATCGTCTAACTCCACAGGCCGGCCATCTTCCCCTTTCTCACAAGCCCCTCCTTCAGAGTCTGATGGCTCCTCCTCCACACCACCCACCTGTCCACTAGAGCGGGAAAATCTGGAGAACAGGATACCGCCAATGCCTTTACCTATACTTGCCGCTCCTGCAGAAAAAATCAAGTATGCACAGATAATGTTACATTTTAAGAGTTGTGAAACCATTTTATACAACAGTTCAGTAAATAAGAAGTTAATATTGTGTTATATTTTAAACATAATATTGTCTGTTTTTGCTCAGTTTTGGCAAAAA